AAGAAAATCATGTCTACTTTTTTATCTAACACTTTATATCACTTTATCATTGTTTTGTCAAATCTTGAAAACACTTTGTCATTTTATTTTCAAGTTTTGTCATAATGAATTGAGAAACGTAAGAATCTTTGAATAACTTTATTATTGTATTGTCTAATCATCTCATAAGAGATTGAGTAATATGGGAGCCTTTATTAACATCTATAAATAACATCATGGTGTTATATTTTCATTCACCTCATTAAACCATTCTATAATTTTCTATCTCTACTACATTTATTCTTACTTTACTTACAAAAATGTCTCTACGTTCTACTGGATATACACAAGAAGAAGATAGGCTTTTGTGTCAAATTTATATGGAAATTTCTCAAGATCCAATTAAGGGTGTCTATCAGTCATCCGATCGGCTTTGGTCCCGTGTGCTAGAAGCTTACGAGAAGGAGAAAAATCCAACGTGGAGTGAACGGTCAACAAAATCTATCCAATGCCGAATTCAAACTATCGAGAAAGTAACAAGAAAATTACATGCATGCATCAAACAATGTGAGAATAGACGTCCAAGTGGTGCTTCAAGTGACGATATTGTGAGTATTTTTTGTGATTATTAATAGATGATTTATCAAATTTATTTGCATTTGGTTATTAATTATTTTTTTCTTCAAATTTGTTTGCAGTTTAATCAAGCCAAAGTGATGCTAATGGAAGATCAAAGATATAAAGGAGGTTGGAAATTTGATCATGTGTGGAACATTATTAAGAATTTTGAAAAGTTTAAAGATGGTGACACTTCTTCTAGAAAAATATCAAACCCACTTAATTTCGGGTATATATCTTCAGAGTCAGAAAATCCTACTCCTGATTCCGCTACACAAGCATCTCCAGGTTTGTCTTCATTTTCTTTGAACTTAGATGGTGATGATGACAACATTGGCGGATCTCCATCTCAACATCCAATGGGAGTAAAAAAATCCAAACTGAAAAGAAAAATTGATGATCAAACATCAATTATTATCAACACTTTGGAAGAAGGAAATAAACAACTTTTGGAGCAGCTAAAGAAGACAAGTGCTCAAAGACAACAACATTTGGAGATTCAAAGTAAGAATTATGCTTTGAAAGAACTAAAGGCAGACAACAAAATGTTACTTCAAGACTTGAATTCCATAGAAGATCCAGAGATTCGTGCATATGTTCAAGCTGAAAAAGCTCGCATTTTACAAAAAAGAAATGAAGAAAAACAGAATCAACAAGCTCCATCTGGATCAACCTCATTTGGGCAATATTTTAATTATCTTAGTGGATCTGGAAACGAATTACCAGATTATTAAGTTTTTAATATATGATATGGTATGTTTTTATATATTTAATGTTAGTATTAATTATGCATTTTAAATTTTATGTTGGATATGTGTTTGTTTTTCTATTTAATATATATTGTTATTGTATTTTAAGTTGTTTGGATAAAATATGAATAAATAATTTGTTTGGTATAAAATAAATACTTGTTATAATTTAAAGGATCATTTTGTAAATAAAAAAGTTCATCTTCAAAATACGAAGATATGAATAGTATACCTTCAAATATGAAGATACACTATTCACTCCTTCATTTTGAAGGTGAAAATGAAGCACCATTGGAGAAGATTTCTTCATTTTTATCTTCAAAATGAAGGAAAAGGTGAAATTTGAAGCACAATTGGAGATGGTCTTAAACATGAATGAATAATGCATATTTCGTTTATTTATTGAGAATATTTTTCTATAAATTTTTTTCTAAATTCTTATTATTAATAAAATTATATTTTAACATGAATTCATTTATAACATTATTTATATTTATTATGAATATATATAATCATAAAAAATAACAGTCACAGCTTTCAAAGCTTTGTTCTACCAATCAGATTTTAACAGCCAAAGTTTCTACATCCAAAGTCTCTGCATTCAAAGTTTTTACAGCCGAAGTTCTTAAAGTCAAAGTCTTTACGGTCAGCCTCTTCCAATCACTCCCATAATCTTTATAACAATTGATGTTTCAAAGTTACTAATTAACATGATTAATATATGTGTCAATCAATTAATGATATTTTGATATATACATGTAAAAAATGATCCCAATTAGATTTTGACACATGTTAACATATATGAAAGTTATATACAAATCATTAACATAAAAATATAAAAATAAACATATATATTTATAATTGTAAAATACTTTAATTAAAATAATAAAATTTTATTAAAAATAAAGCAAAAAAGAATATACAAATAATTATTTGTTCTAAATAAAATTGTTTTTATTTACTTTCTAAAGGTTATCAAATTTTAAAGAAATCAATATACGGTTTTTAAAATTAGAAATAAGATTGGAACAAAAAAAGAAAAAAAAAAAAGAACGAATGACGTCAAAAAGGAATAAAAAGAAAAAGGAAACAAAAGGCGGGACCCACTTCTTTGGTGTTCCCTCCTCGTTTCTTCCCTTCACGTCTCCCGATGCTTCACAAGTCGCAACCCACTTTCGTCTTTTAGATCTCTTCTTCTTATTTCCTCTCAGAGATCTTACTACACGAAGTCAATTCGTTCTCGTCTTAAATCCATAAGCTTGTGATTTTGGTGTGAACGATGTCAAAGTTTCAGAGCAATTTCAATCAGAAGATAGATTATGTCTTCAAGGTAGTCTTGATCGGCGACTCTGCTGTTGGTAAATCTCAGCTCCTCGCTAGGTTTTCAAGAAACGAGTTTAGTATCGAATCTAAAGCAACGATCGGTGTCGAGTTTCAGACAAGAACACTTGAAATAGATCATAAAACTATCAAAGCTCAGATATGGGACACTGCTGGTCAAGAACGGTAAATTTTCTTAGTCAAATCTATGATTTATCATCGTAGATCCTTGTTTTAGTTATCAGAATTTGATAATTTTGGTTGTATTTGTGTTTATAATCTCGCCTTTCGTGCTAATTAATATAAGAGTTGTTCGTTTAACAGTCGTTGGCAAATGCGACCAACGACCGTGACCAAACGTTGTTATTAGTCGTTGATTTATTCAGTTAACATAATAACATGTTGTAGTCGCCAACGATTGCCAAACGAATCAATATTTTTTATAAACTCTCTGATTGTGGAGATTTTGTTTAGGTATCGAGCGGTGACGAGTGCATACTACAGAGGAGCAGTAGGGGCAATGCTAGTTTACGACATAACGAAACGACAGTCGTTTGATCATGTAGCGAGATGGTTAGAAGAATTGAGAGGACATGCTGACAAAAACATTGTGATTATGCTTATAGGAAATAAAACTGATCTTGGGACACTTCGAGCTGTACCAACTGAGGATGCTAAAGAATTTGCCCAAAGAGAAAATCTGTTTTTCATGGAGACATCGGCCCTGGATTCGAACAATGTTGAGCCGTCGTTTCTCACGGTTCTGACGGAAATCTATCGAATAGTGAGCAAAAAGAATCTTGTAGCGAATGAGGAAGGAGAATCTGGAGGAGACTCTTCTCTTTTGCAAGGAACTAAGATTGTTGTTGCTGGAGAAGAGACTGAATCTAAAGGAAAAGGTTGTTGTGGAACATCATAGAATTATTTTCATGATCTTTTCTCTTTTTTTTTCTGTTACTACCATTTCTTGTGATCTTGTTTCTTTCTTCTCTTTGACTGCATAAATATTGTGTCTTCTTTGTATGTAAGACGTTGATGATAGAGTTAAACATTGTATACTGAAATGAGTTGTGTTTATTCAGGATACATATACAAGTTATTCGATTATGACAAATTAAGCTAAACATTGATAGATTGTCAAATAATAGGGACATAGTTTAACAGATTGTGATATCATGTGTCCAACAAACTTTCAAGAAAAAAAAAAAAAAAAGAAGTAGATTAATGGTTATAGTTAAGTAATTGTGAAAGAAATATGATACTCTTGCAAAGAGATTTGAATTTCCAAATTTCTGAAACAACTAAACATATGTGATTTTATGCCCTATACAGCCTTGTAATTACAATTTGGCTTATTACAATTCAACATGTAGCATTCTGACACCTCAAGGAAACATTAGAAGAAGTTGTCTCCCATATTGGAAATACAAGGTTTTACTTCTCCCACATCAATCTAATAAGAAAGGGATAAGCAATCGAGTAAGCGCATGATGGATCAAAATATCTTGCTTGTAGATAGTTGATCACAAGAGGGGATAGGGATAGCTCTTGAGAAGGGAATACAAGAGGCATCATTGCGTCAACCTACTGACTTGTTTCCTCTGACTGCGTCTTATGGAAGGATGTTGCGCGGAACGTACTCTATATGTGACTTCCACGGAAAACCGGCAAATGGACCAATTATCCACCACATACTTCAACTATGAAGTATTCGAACCGAATACGATAATCTCTTATAAATACCATTATGAACACCATTTTATCGTATATGAACGGTTGAGTTTCTTGTTGTTCCTATTTCTCTTGTTTTTTCCACACATTTCATTGTATCTAGAGTCTTTGTGCATCTCATATGGTCTTCCATTTATATATTTTGGTCATTTTTGAGTTATTTCTAGGCGTTGGAGAGTCTTGGACTGAGATGGATGCGTGGAATTGAAATGGGAGTGAAGAAAGCATTATGGAGCGTGAAGTACTGTTAAGAGAAGCCTAATGACTGGCCACTGTCTCAACTAGTGACCAGCCGGTCGATAGAAAGCAAGAGGAACAAAGAGTGGTCACAGGAAAAGTAAACTGAGAAAGTGAGATACATGTACCAACCGGCCACACTATCTTAGAGTATCTGGCCGGTCAATAGAAAACAAAAACATTTGTGGAAGAGCAATCTCCATGGACATACCTCATCCAAAATAGTGATTGGCAGGCCGCTCGTCAAGAAGTAGTTGGTCGAGAATCAAGAGGTCTTGAAGCAGCCAATGGTAGGCCGGTCGTTTGTTAATCTATCATTTTGGATCCGCTACAAAATTTTTTTAATAAAACACCCTAAAAAATCATGTCCAAAAGATTCTCTGTTTATGTACGATAATTAAATATTTAATTTAAGTTCTAGATGTTGTTGCTTAGGCAATTAACTCTCTCATTTTTGAGTTATGATCCTAAGCTTTATTCTATAGTGCCTTATTGGATTAGAAGTACTTTGGTTTAAAACGTTTTGTTGTAAGAACGTTGGTTAATGAGTAGTTGAAGTTGAGCCACAGAAGAAAAAAACAAAAAAAAAAACTCTCAATTCTAAAAAGTTTCCCCAAAACTAAGGATGGTTCCTTAAACTAAGTAAAATAGAATCTAGGGTTCTACAGTAGATGGTGATGGACCTTCCCTAGAAGTATTCTGAGTTTTACGTCGATCATCTTCGACTTTGTTCACATAAGCCCTTATTGTCGTGACAGCAAGAGCTGGATTTCTCTCAACAAAGGACATGAACTTAGTCGAGAACAAAGTATCTTTCATGTTCGTTGTGATGAACTCAGAGATAGCATCTTTGAGGATCTTGTCTGAGTGAATCTCTGCAAGCTCTAGGACGTCAAATGCATCTGATGAGTTCATGGAAGCGATGAGATGGTTTCTACAGACTTCTTGGAGGTATGGAATCTCGTATTCTTTTGCGGCTACGTAGAGTGTACGGAAATGCTCCACCGGTATCGTATCAGGAAGCGAACCGCTGTATATGAACTCAAGAAATGTCTTTAGCTCATCGTATGTTGTCATATCTGGAAGAGCGAATATCTTGATCGATGAAACATTGCAATCATCAGAATCCAATATGTTCCAAAACACCTTTGATCTTGCAGCCTTTGTAATACACAATCCGCGCGCAATTTAACCGAATTTAGCTAGCAATGTTTTTTTGGTACATGAAAATATTCAGAGTAGAGAAAAGAAGATACCAAGATAAGTTTGTGAGCGGGGGATATCGGTTCCATCCCCTGCTCTAAGCCATACATCGGTTTTCAATTGTTCTTTAAAGGCTTTTGTAAGTCCTGTTGGGTCTGTTTCTTCAATTGGGCTTTATGAATTTTGAAATGGGCTCTTAAGACCCACGTTGGTTTTGTTGTTATGTCAAATCTCCTTCACCCTAAAAGATTAAGTCAAAGAACGTGGCTGAATTTTCTCACCTGTTTCACTTCGTTGGCCACGCGGTGGCTGGGAATGAGCGATTCCCATGGCACAAAAATCTAACTTGATTAGATTCGTTTTTTTGGTCTTTAAAAGGAGTTTTGGGAGAGACTCGATTGAGGTATCCAGTAGAAAAGATCTCTCTTCTATTTTCTTCTTCTTCTAAATTTCTGAGTTTGAGTTTGAGAGCTTCATCTCTTTTGGGTTGAGTGCACAACACAATTGAGAGCAGAGTGAACCCTGGAGTGAGCCGTCTTGGTTATCTTGCACACCGGGATTAGGCGATTTTTCGCTCAAGTGCAGTAGATTCTCTAGCGACTTTCGTTCTTTGTCAATTTTGGTTCTAAGCTTTATTTCCAACAAGTCCCCCAAAGAAAGCCATCTTGTTTGCAGATTCTTTCGCCATACTCTGCGAATAAAATTATCATATTATAGCACAATGCAATTTAGTAAAACAGAGTAAAGTGGGATTTCCGCAAATCCTTAAATGCAAATATCTTCGTTGTTAATATATTTACAAGGGTTCTCGGTTAAAAATACAGATGCAAAATAGTTGACACTTACATTGAGCCTAACTAAAATGTGACAACAAAAAGTGAAAACATTGACTCTGAACAAATTGCCGAATCTGGTTAATTAGTCGTCTCTCTACTTGTGCATTCGTATTGTCTACCATGCTAGATCACTTCAAGCGTCCTCAAGATTTTTCCCTTTACCTTAACCTCACCAATACAACACACTTTTGTTCTTGAGAAAACGGCAAAAGCGTAGAGTCGGCACCTTTTTAACAAACTAATTTTTTTTTTAATTATTTTTTTCAATTTTTTTTTGTTTTTTTTTGATAAACCCTATCGGCTGATCCGGTCGGCCTCGGTAGGAACGCACCGAGGTGCTACAGAGTGGACTTCTCCCGATCCAGGTAGAATTGGGCCACCATACTGTCTGATCCGAGTTTGGAATGCCTTCCGACTAATGGCAGGGGTAGTCAGGCCGCATGCATTTCTTAGTACCAGGTAAACCAATTGGGTCAATACCCAACTGACAGACTTCCCAAACAAATGTGTTTTTTGTTTCCAGGGAGAATCGAACTTGGATCTGGGAGTTTCACCCTTCACCAAAGCTTCCATCCTTAACTTATATAATTCTCCTAATATACACTGACTTTTTGAGTTTGTTCTTTTTAAAACTTTCTAAGAACCCTAACCGATTATGAAGAACACTTCAAAATAAAATCTAGACGATCAATAACAACCAGTTTAATTATAACTGGAGAGAAAATTTTGGTTCGCTTCCCGGAAAACGTTACTTGTTCAGATGAAGAGGAGAAATCACAAGAACTTGGAGAAGGCTCTTTAGGAAAATAATATTTTGGAATATATGTGGAACGAACTAGGGTTAGGACTTAAGACTAATCCTAACACTATACTAAAAGTCTTTAGGCCATAACTAGGTTACATTCCTTTTTCATGACAATTAGGCAGCGTAGTACACGCATAATAAATGCTCTTGGCATAAATTTCCCTAACATTTTTTTAGTAAAACAAATCTCATTCTAATCTATATATACATTTTTGGAGACATTTATGAAATAAATCCTTGAGTTCCAACTTATTTACGATCAAATGTCATTGACATTAATTATTTAGATTTTCAAAATTAAATCACAGATATTAACATAAAAAATCATTTCCAAAAATCTTAACCTAATATATTAAGCATAACTAATCCTTGCCACAATTACATCCATATTCAATTCGTTTTCTTTAAAAAATCTCAACAATCCTTACATTTAGTTGTGTTCATTCAAATCTTAATCCGGTTTTTAATCTTCAATCTTGACCGTCGGTCATACGCAATTAATTCAAAAATCATTATATAGAAGCAATTAATATTATTACCTAAAATTTAAATATATATATATATATATATATATAATCAAACTTTTAAATTGACTCGAATTATATGTCTATTAAATAAAATATTATTAAAAATAACAAAATGATGTTTAATTTCACGGGACGGTGTTATGTAGTGGGACGGGTTTGGATCGATATAAATACGGGACGGTGTTAATATCACAGATGAAACCTTAAAATTAACAATAAAAATACAATTATACAATCTTACACACTTAACAAAATAAACAATATTAAAAAATTTAATTTAAAATTTAATTTTTTTAGTTAAAAAATCGCCCAGAGAAGAGCCTTGAATTCTGTATGTAATGGAGATAGACTTCTACGGAGGTTGGCAGCTCTCATGGTTGGCGGCTCTCCGGTTGATGATGTACAGAACCATCCTATACCGGAGAACTTATCACTTTCTTTCCACGATCCATCCACAAAGCAACGACATCCACAATAATTCGAATCAAGTAAAGCATCCCCCACTCGAGAACGATTTACCAAATCCACAATACCATTAGTTTCATGATGAAGCTCGATTTGGGCTGACTGCCACAATTGTGCTTCTTTTTCCGCTAACCGTAATACCTCTAACGGATCTTTGTCAATATTTTCAAAAAAAATTTCATTTCTTGCTTTCCAAATATACCAGATAATCCATGGAAAGGCTGAAGAATCAAATTCTGAAGGTATTCTCCAAAATAAGTGGTCCAAATTCGCAAAAATAGACTCCGTTGGAAAAATTTCCATTGGCGTAGGAATCTGGGAAAGTGCCCTTCTTGACTTTTGTGGCACTGAAAGAGTGTATGATTGATTGTTTCCACTGGTTCGCCACATCTCAGCCTGTGTCACAATCAATTCCTCTTTTCCGCAAATTTTCCGTAACTGGTACACAACCCGTTATATTTATATGCTTTTGTATAAGACATTTTATTTTTAATAGATAACTTTTTGTTAACTACTTCCAAACATAAAATAAAACAACTCGTAATATACGATGAGCTACTTTTTTTAACATAAAACACACTACAAAAATTGTCCAAAAAAGTCTCTTTTATGTTTGATAAATATTTAATTTAAGTTAATTCGCCAATTAACTCTAACTAAATTATAAAAACTTCCCCCAAAACTAGGGATAGACGTTCCATACAGCGTCACTGAATTTGGAGTCTAATATGTTTACGTCGACCATCCTTGATTTTGTTCACATAACCCCTTACTAGATCATGACCCGTGCTATACAGCACGGATTTTAATATTTTGTACGGTTCAACGGTTTAAAAAATATTAACCCGCAGTACACCGCAGACTTATATTTTTATTAAATATAAAATTAATTTTTTAAGGCCTTTCTTTTACATATATGCTATGATTTTGTTTGTTTTAAACGTATATATATTATACATTGTGGGATTAATATGTTTTAGGTTTCATTTTTGAAAATATAGAGATATAGAAAATTATATAGTTCATTACGTACTAATGTATAGGGTATTTAAATATGAATTTATTTTCTTGTTTACATAATATATATATGTGAAGAATATATGAGATTAGAATGGGTTTACAAATTTTTATTGAGCAAATACATATTTAAAATTGCAGTGTATATATTTAGTGTTTAAGATTGTATGATTGTATTTTAATTGTTAATTCTAGGATTTTTCACCCGTGGTATACCTTCCCGTTTTAATGTCGACTCAAATCCGTCCCACCATATAACCTCGTCCCGTAAAATTAAACACCATTTTGTAATTTTATTAATAATAATTTATTTAAAATATATAATTCGAATAAATTTAAAAGTTTGCTTTAAATAGTTCTCATAATATATAGATTTTTAATTTGTATAGAGTTAAAATATCATTAATATTTTAAATAGTTCTCATAATATATAGATTTTTAATTTGTATAGAGTTAAAATATCATTAATATTATAAAAAAGTTAGTTTGAAAAATGAAAGACAATCAATAAGAAGACACATTACATAACTATATTTGTATATAGTATAAAAAAGGGTATAGATAATGTTTTTTGCTTTCTTTATTTTTTTGGTAAAATGTCAATCTTTTTTTTTCACTTGAAAAAAAAGAGTCGATCCAATTGTTCATACAAAAAATCTTTATCCCCTCTGATTATCTTACTGATTCAGCAGAGATCTTTTTTCGATTACAACTATGAATTAAAGATTTGAAAAAAACATGTTCAATAACACCCTGATTCAACCCATGATTTCGATTCAGTAACCTATCCCACAATTAATTAGGATTAAATATTTAGAGACTAAACCAAACCCATTTAATAAGAAACAACTTTACAACCACGTGACCTCAACCCAAGGTCCACAATTCCGGTTTAATAATCAAATTCCGAAACCCAAACAAACAATCGCACAAACCACCACCACTACACGTGACCATCATCACAAGTCATCTCACGATTCCAAGTTTTGATTCTGGATTTCAATTACACAAGCCATCTCTTGGTTTAGCTTGGTTTAGTTTCACGGTTTAATAATCGCAACAACACCAAGCAACACATACACTAAGACATGGATTTGTAGAATATCTTCTTCGGCAAGTTTTCTCGATGGTTTGATCTGACTGTTTGAACGGCAAAGTGGATCTGCGATGGTCCAGATCCAAACCTAATTTCAAAGAGATCCGAGTTCTACACCACCAAGCTAAAGCTCTATTACCCACCGTTGAACCAACATCTCACCGTCACCGTCGCCGTCACAGCCACTAATTCCCTACCCGTACACAGCATCACCTAAAGCTCGATGATAAACCGTTGCAACAATCTCTCCATTCGACATCTATTTTCACCATAAACTCAAAAGTAGCAGCCATGTGAAGAGGAAAAATGTGTGTTAAATGTTTTTCTTGCAAATCGTGACTTTTTTTGTTTGATGATAAAGATCCACATTTAGGTGTAGAGTATTTATAGGGTCAAAATTAGGTCACTAATCCCTATCACTTCACGCAAAAATTATTCGAAGTAGCAACAAATTGGAGAAAAAATCTTTGGATTCGTTAGTATTTTGGAATATGCCGAGATTTTAATATTTAAGAGTCATAACTTTGTTTCTTTAAATGGATTTTGTTGAGATACTGGAGAAAGAAAATCTCCGAAAATAAAGGTGGTGATTAATTAGTTGAAAGATTAATTGGAATTAGGTAGAATTGAAAACGTTAAATCGAGAATATACACTCGAATATATCAATATACTCGAGATTTAGTTTGCTTAATATCTTTATTTAATTTTGCAAATTTAAATAATAAATGCTAATGGCATGCCGATTAATGTGGGAATAAATTAAGGAAAGAGAGTTAAATGGGTAATTAAAGATTACAAACTTCCTTCAATCTCTTATCCAGGATCCGAACAAATTAAAACCGGATCAAAACCCGATCCATTTGAATTAAAAACCAAAATCCCCTCTAAAAATGTATATGAAGATATAATGTAATCTATATATACATTTTTGGATGACTTTTAGCAAATAAATCCTGGAGTTGAAATGTATTTACAAACAATGCCATTGGACTTAATTCTTAAGATTTAAAAAAATTAATTAAAGATATTATTCTAAAGATCGTTCCTCAAATCTCCGTTGTAGCTTCTTAATATTGATTTGGAGATGCTCTTAGTATTGATTTGAAAATTTTCTTTGGTTTGTTTACTAAAAAATATTTAGTGGTTTACCATCAAATGAAAAAATCATGTGATAAAATAACCTTTATAGATTAATCTATATTTATCAATTTTTTGAGTAAATCATTTTCTAAATATATCTATTTTAATGTAGATTAGTTAAATTATGGTTACTATTCGTTATTTGACAAACTCATTTGGCTATATTACTTATTTTAAACCAAACTCATTTTGGCAATAAATAATGTTTATTTATAAATTAGATTAACCCCCAAAAAATTATTACCAAATATATAAAGATTATTTATGTCTAAAGAATAATATGTTGCTTTAGATTATTATTATTTATAAGGTTTCAAATATTATAAATATTTTAACCTTATAAGAAGTATAAATTAATAATATTTAAAGTATCTATAATATTTAATTCCATAAAAAGTTTATAATATTAATAATATTTGAACACTATAAAAATTATAAATATTTATACTATGGAACCACTTAAAAGCAAACTTTTAAATTGACTCGAATTATATGTTTTCTAAACAAATGTGTTATTAAAAAAAATGATGTTTAATTTCACGGGACGGGGTTATATGGTGGGACGGGTTTAGATCGATAATAATACCGGAAGATATACCACGGGTTAAAATCCTAGAAATAATAATCAAAATTCAATATATAATCTTAAACACTAAACAAAACAAATAATATTAACAAAATAATTACAACTTAAAATTTAAAACTTTTTAGTTAAAAAGTCGACCCGCGGTGTACCGCGGGTTAAAATCTAGTTTCTTACACTTCTCAAACAAAATATATAATTTTCAATGATATATCACTTTCATTAACATTTTTGATAACATGTTCGAATAATGAATTACTATATAAGATTTTCAATAACATTTTCGAATAATATATTAGTATATAACATTTTTACTAATTGTGTTACATTTTCGAATTGATTAGTATATAATATTTTCAAATTATATTAATTGTGTAATCGTTTGAAGAAATTTTTTTCAGAATTATATGTATTATATAAACAAAATCTTTTAATATCTTTAAACATGTTGACCCGTTGACCCGTTTATATATATTATTGACATGGAATAAATTTTATGATTAGAATTATATAATGGCATATATTGTAATTTCTTACAAAATATAAGTTATGACTCTTAGGATGTACTTTCCAAATATTAGTTTAGGATTGTCTTGACAGTAAGAGCTGGATTATTCTCAACAAAAGATATGAACTCACTCGAGAACGAAATATCTTCCATGTTTGTTGAGATAAACTCAGTGACAGCATCTTTGAGGATCTTGTCCGAGTGAGTTTCTGCAAGCTCAAAGACATAAAATACGTCTGATGATTTCATGGAAGCGATGAGCTGGTTTCTGCAGACTTCTTGGAGGTATGGAATCTCATATTTGTCTGCAGCTACGTAGAGTGTATGGACATGATGCACCAGCTTCGTATCAGGAAGTGAACCGTTGTACATGAACTCAAGAAACGTCTCTAGCTCATCATGTGTCATCTCTGGAACAGTGATTGTCTTGTTCCATGGATCATCTAAATCCAATATGTTCCTAAACACCTTTGATCTTGCAACCTTTTTACAAATTTTAACCGAAATTATTTTTTTATTTATAATATAAAATACAAAAGAGAGAAAAACAAAATACCAAGATAAGTTTGTGCGCGGGGATAGCATCAGTTTGGTCCCCTGGTTGGAGCCATATGTCGACTTTTCGTTGTTCTTTAAAGGTTTTCAAAAGTCCCTCAAAGAAATCAATCCTGTTTTCAGATTCATCATCCACCATACCTTGCGAATAAAAATATCATGTTATAACATTATGCACTAAATGCATGTCTCTTCTTTGCTCTTAGATTTAGAAAGGTTCTTGTCAAAAACAAACACAGATCGAAACTTTTTTTTTGTTTTGAAAAAGGGTTTAGCGATTGAAACTAGTTGACACTCATATAAAGCCTAACTAAGAATGTAATGTGATGGAATAGTTGATGACGATACCTCAAACAAAATGGCCGAACGGACAGTGATGGAACCTTAAATATCGGTTTACGAAATCAACTAGCATGTTTATCTTGAAGAAACAAGTTACAAAAACAGTTTCTTATTGCAAATCAACAAAATTTAACAAACCAATGCAACTGAGAAGTGTTTCCAAACCGGAGAAGATGATTTGTTTATACGAAAACGGCAAAAGGGAAAGCGAACTTTAAAAGCTAAATTGAATCTCTTAATTATAACGCATAAAATCTGCACCTTTTTAGAAAACTAGTTCCATTCCTAACCTAATTCTCCCAATAGAGTGATTCTAAGAGTTTGTTTCTTTAAAATATTTTTTTTCTAAGAACCCTAAACGATTATGAAGATATATATATACATATAAGTAAGAAATAAACTCGAGACGAGAGAACAACTAGTTTGTTTGGTTTTTTTTACCTGGAGAGAAATTTGCGTTTAGTTCGCTGGAAAACGTTACTTGTGATCTCGCCGCTTTAAACTTTGATAAGGCTCTCTAGGAAAAGAAAGAATTGGGGATATAACAATAACGAATACATATAGAACGAATTAGGGTTAAGACTAATAATAACATTACACTAAATAAGAGTATTTGGGCCGTAACAGGTACACTCATTTTTCTTGACAACTACGCAAAGTTCCAGGTATAATAAATGAACAACTGCGAGAGGCTGATATCACTTGGTGTGCTCCGAATAAAAAATGCAGAGTATTAGGTTAAGACAGTCGCAGGCTGATCTTATCAAGTAGATCTGCACATGGAAATCTTGCAAATGAATGTAACCATGCAATGCAGGGGCTTAGGTCCAGACACATGTTAATGTTGAGTATAGCTCTACTTTTCGGAGGTGGCCTACCGCGAAAGTTTCTAACCTGTACCAGACATCCCTGCACTCCATATGTTGCATTTGGCCGCCATTTGAATACAAGGGAGCGGCATAACTAATGCGTTAAATTTTTATTTGTAGTTGACCAATAAAAAGTTTTCACCGTTTCAAATGAAACAAATACAAGATTTAAATTCAGCCAAATTCTGAGTTATCAACATCAAATGCTTCAACAAAAGCAGAGATTTATATTTGTCAACCCATAAATGCAACTGGTTCATGGCTGAACACTGAAACTATGAAAATCCCTTCTTTCCTTTTAGATTGATGACAGAGAGCTCTTGTTCAACATACTCTCCTGCGGGTATCGCCGGATAGTTACTCGCCAGTGATGATTCCGCGAAATGTCCCAAAGGTTTCAGCTCAGCATCAGAGGCAATGTGGGCAAACAACTGCAAGACATGCAAAAACAAATCTTTCATATAAGCCAAAAGGGTTGCATTTGTTGGGAAACTTATAAGGAAATTGGTTAAGACTCACAGTAGAGGAAACCCTCCATAGGCTTCGGTTTTGTTCTTTTGCTAATTTGATTGCATCTTTAGTCTTGCTCGTGACAACCACTTCATGCATTCCAGCAATGCATTCTCCAGCAGTCAACCATTCTATCTGGATACATGAACACCAACATTTTAGCAAATATAGTAAAACCTCAAAGAAGTTGTTAGCACAGTTTCTCTTCAGTTAAATAATTCGAGATATTTGGCTGTTCATGAATGCTTCAAGTAAACAAAAATGCAGTAACATCTCCGTACCTGCTTTCCAGTTTGAATCAAGAGACAGCCTACAGGAACTTTAACCGCAACCTTCTCCCCATTCCTTAACCAAATATATAAACCAGGGAATCTACTTCTTCCATGAATCGTTAAAAAATTGAGGTCATAGTGATATCCTGCAAATATCGTCCCCTCCTCGTTGTAACAGTTAAGATCACTTCCCGTTGGAGCAAGAAGATGAGGACCCTAAGATTCACAAGAACGACACTCTTGAAGTGAAAGAAATCACAATCCATGCAATGACTCCGGTTTCCACTTAACCATTCATCCAAAACTTAAGCTAAATGCAGGACTGTTCTGAACAACATTAGAACAGCTAAGAACTTACCTGCTTCATGAGTGATGTAAATGCATCCTTAGGCAAACCAAAACCGATTGCTGCCATTTCAGCAACAACCTAAACAATTTAAAAACAAAAATCGTCATCAACTCATCATAGTTATAACTAAACAAGCATCAGACACCAAACTCCTCAGCAAAGCCTCACCTCCACCGCGGATATCATCTTGTAACCCCATGAGTCCATTACTTCTTTCCACTCTGGAAAACCTTCCGGTATAACAGGCTCAGAATTAAGCTCCTAAAACCATGTCACTCATAAATTAACTACAAAGAAACATATCAAATACCAAATCTACTAAATGTATCCGAAGATCAAACCTTAAACCGTATGTTAGATGGCCTAGGACCAACTCTCCACATATATCTCCACTTATGATCTGGTCCTTTAGGAATATGTGGTTTGTATTCATCAGGCATTGTCTTGAACTTTTCTTGCATCTCTTCATCAACCAAACTTCTCGGAACTTCCACTCCCTCCGGCGTCGCACCAACCTATTAAAAATCCACACTATACTCGCTTAAAATCCACATAGCAATAAAAATTGGTGTAGTCTTGACAAGATTGGAATTTCTCAAGCAACACAACCACATCAAGCAATAGTAATTTACAAAAACACTAAGATTTGTGCCCTAATCATGCCCTAATTTGACTTAATTCAGATTCTATTAACTAAAAATTACTGTAAATGTAACGAATTCGAAAACAAAACACGAAATTCGATTAAATTGAATCATAAATCGACAAAGGGCAAAATTGATTATGAAAGGTTAAAACGAAGAATCGATTTTGAAGATAGAGATCGCAAGAGAATGTTGAGAAACCTGATAGTGAAGATTAGGTCTTTGTTGCAATCGTTTGAAATCATCGGGTTTTTGGAAATAAGTCTCCATCATATCGATGAATCGATCGTTGTCTTGAGCGGTACATCGAGGATCTTTGACAAGAAGAGCTCCGGTTTCTTTTAGGATCCGACTCACTTCTCGGCACGAATCGAGAAGATCGGATCCTAATTCATCACCGGAGGATTCGAGGTAACGAGACAGATCTACGACGGGTAATTCCATTACCGACAAAAGAGAGGAAGAGACAAAAGTAGTAGTCACTAGTTCTGTAGTTGTGTGTTGTTGTTGTAGTGCGTATGGCGGGAGATTGAGATGGAGTGGATTTGATGCATGTAGACGCCACTCCATTATTCATTGTATCTTTAAGAGAAAATTGGTGAAGAAAAAATTTGTTAGTTTTAGAAAGTAATTTTGAAATCGTTCTATTATTTGTTTTTAACTCAACACAGAAATCAATTAAACAATTTACTCTACCATGAAACAAAATCCAAATTTGATTTTTTCCAAATTGATTGCGACTGTGATTTTAAAATCGAGGGATGTTGTTCGTTTAGCAATCGCGCGACTGGTTAGTGCGGCTAATTGCATTTAAAATATCGCATAACTAATTTTTCCTGCGATCAAAAATTTCAGTCGCAAGTCGCTGCGACTGATCGCGCGACTAATCGCAATATTCCACGATTGTCAAACGAACAACTTTCAGTCGCAGTCGCAATCACATGCCTAACGAATACCACCAATAGTTAAGAATTCCTCATCTACCTTTTTTTTTTATAAAGATTTTCCTTTGCTAAATACAACAACAAAGAAAGTAGTATTGAAATAAATCGTTTTATTTTTTTTTTATTTTTTTAAAATTTATTTTTAGGGATTTTTGGCAAATGTACCACAATTTTCAAAATCTCTAGCAAATGTACCACAATGTAAATCAATTTAGCACTTGTACCACTTGTGTGTGGTAGTGTGGTAGAGCTTGGACGATTTTACCCTTCTGCATGCGTTAGGAATGTGTCAGAGGAAGGAGCTACAGTAGACGCCAGACACCTTTGTGTCAGAAGGACAGCTTTATGTCAGAGAAGGACAAAACATTGCATTAAATGCAGTTTACATTTACCATGGACAATAATTATGAAATAGAGTGAATGATGTCCCCCAAGAATAAGTCCAGATCTCTTGCGAATAAAACTATACCATATGACGATGGACAACCATAATATCTAGGTGTCCCCGAATTTAACATAGTGTTGAATTTAAAAAGGATTATATAAAGAGAACATATGATGTGGTTTTACTAGCCAGAGATCTGAATTTACTCGGGGACAACTTGATCATTATTTTATTCCGCCAGAGAGCCGAAGACGAAGATCTGGATTTACTCGGGGACAACTTTGTTTTACCAGCCAGAGGTACGAAAACGGTTACCAATGCGTCAGGAGAGAGACAAAGGACGGCAGAAATTTCGGAGGGTCACATCAACCGCAGTTCTTTGTCTCACCAGTTGGAGGGTAAAATGGTCATTTTACAAGTACAATGTGGTTTTGCCCCCAAAAAAAAAAAAAACAAGTACAATGTGGTATGAATGATAATTGGGCCTCGAATGTGGTATTGGTGCTAACTTTTGGGCCAAATGTGGTACCAATGCTAATTTTCTCTTATTTTTAATTTTTTTGGTCGGATTTTTAAAATTTAGTTTGCATCCTCTTCTTTTGTCGTAAATTTTTTTTAATTAAATTAACATTACAAAAGGCGGTGAGAGTGGCCTTCATTGTTTGCAGATTCTGAAATGGTTTTTACTTTTGATTTTGCAAAAATCAATATATTACCCATTCAAGATTATATTGAAAATATATTACATAAAAAATAGAGAATCTAGATTTTAAGCGATTTTTGCCAATTTTTCTCAACATCCAAAAACCTATTTTTATGATTTTTTAGGGTGTGTGATGTAAGCGTAAATTCAATTTTTTTTTTGTTTTCTGTTTATTTACTTTTTCTTTTATACAAAATCCAAAAATTAAAATCTAAAACCCAAAATCTATAATCTAAAAACCCCCGAAATGTTTATGGTAAAATTCTCCAGAAACTAAACTGGCGGGGACGAAAATCCCTGGAAACTAATCCGGCATTTTTACTCGAACATAATAATTTTATTTAAGAAAAG